AAATTGCTATTAAGGATTCTATTAGTGGAATCAGAGTTGTATTACAATTAGAAGTTACAAAGTTATTTAATAAAAATTTAAAAATACTAATATATTACTAATATAATAATACTATTATTTCTCTTCAAATAAGCTACATACAACTAAACAACAAACAAATTATCTTACTTTATATACTTAACTACTCTAATTTACTCCTTTATAACTACTATCATCAAAACCAACTACATAACCTTTTTTAAAATAATATTTTCACAACAATTCTATTCTTTACAATAACTCTTTCTTTTGTTTATTCAAACAATCATATGCAATATCTCTCTAAAAATTCATTGTTGCTTAACTCAACTCCTTTTCTTATAGCTAAATTTCTAAAACTTTAAGCTTTTTTTTTAACATTTTGAAGACTAAATATACAAAATTTTTATTAGTACTATTTTTTTAGTATTTTTTCTCTTTTTTTATCTTTATTATTTATTTTATATTCCTATTTTTCTACTTACTATTCTTCTTCAGAAAAACCTATACTAGTAATTTTATATAGATATTTATTAACTAAATCACTATCTTCAATTTCAACTATTTCTTGATATGCTAAAACATTCTGTTTAACATGTTTTTTTGCTTTGATACTACTTGTAGCTTCAACTACTACTTGTCGAGATGGAAGACTTTATTTATAAGCACACTTCAAATGACTATTTGAATAATTATGTTTGTTCATTTTAATAACCTCCAACTTAATTTAAATGACTTTCATCACAACAAGAATATATATAGTATAAATTTTAATCTATATTTAAATTACAATTATCAAAATACAAGGACAAATTAACGAAATTTATTGGATAATCATTGACAAACCAGATTTTCAAAAAATGTACAATTTTAAAATTTTACTATATACACCAAAGTAGTTTAGTGTTAGAGTGCATAACCTGCAGGGTTGTGTATTCAATTCCATTGGTAGGATGTTAAACCTAGTACACTGTGATAACAGGTACTGACTACATATATCGAATGTTCTTTTTATTTTATTCTTTTTTATTATTTATAATTTCTTTTTAACTTTCCTTTACTATTACTACTATTTAACTTATACTATTACTTTTATTTTAACTTTATTACAATTCTTTTTTAACTTTATTATACAGTATTTATAACTATCAACTTATATTAAATTTTTCATATTGCAAATAACTTATTTTTTATATATCTTATAGTATTATTATCAAACTTTATACTTATCTAGAACTTATTTAGATTTGTATAAAGTTTTCAAATCTAGATAAGTCTTGGCCACTCTAGTAGGTTTAGATTATGGATAATAAACTATCTAAGCTTTTATTCTTGTATATAATTTATATTTATTTGTTAATATACAAATTAAGTTTTTATATAATTTTATATTTATATAACTACTTATATAAATTATTAAATAAAGATACAAGCAAGGCCTTACTTTAAAACCAAAAAAAAAAAAAAAATTATAAACACATTAATTCAAAAATATTTAAATATAATAAATAGTGAATTACCAATATGTATTTTTAAAAAATAAACAAATATACAAAAACTTAAGAAGATGTTTAATCATTATATAAAATTATAGAAGATTCCTAGTCTAATAACTACTTGGCCAACTCTTTTTTATATTTGATCACAACAAAAAAGTTCTATTATTTAATTTCTACTTATATTATAAAGTATCTACAAACCTGATTATATTTTTTACAAGAAAGAGTTACAAGTATGGTAAGCTATATTTACTGCTTGCAAACGTATTAATATAACTCTTGTTGTAGAAGAATCATCTATAAAACTTTGAAGCAAAGAATTAAACTCTACTGTTAACAAAGAATTATTAAAAAATTTTTATAAAAATAATCTTATTTAATTAAATAATAATATTTTCTTTTTAGTATTAAGCTTATAGTTAATCAGAGATTTGCAAGATAAATCTTAATAAAACAGCTTTTAAAATCTAAATAAAAAAGAATTAGATGGTATAATTTGTATTTTTTAATTATTACTTATTTTAAATATCATATTCTTAAAAAAGAATTAAGTATAAATAGTTATATATAATAATATAATAAAAAATTTTAATTGAATTTAATATTTAATACTTATTAGATTAAATTAAATACAATTAACAAGGCCAGAGAACATGTTTGGCTTTATAGACCAGGTGCATTGTCTCTAGAAAAACCAAAAAAAAACTATTTAATGATTAACAAATATTTAAAAAAAGCAATTTAAACTGTTTTTTCAAAATAAAAATAATATTACAATGAGTTCATATTATATAGACTTAAAAACAAGATTACTAATCCTGTATTTAAAGAATCAAAAAAATAAACTATAAAAAAAATTTAGTAAAATATATTAAAATAGTATAAAAAAACTATCTTTATAGCAAGACTAAATAAATTAAAAAATCTTAAGTACTATGAAGATCTTGGCAAACTTTGTATAATCTGTAATAACAAATAATATTATTAATAAAGATTTTCTGGTTAGTTGATATATATTTATATAGTTATTTTTAATATAAATTTATAATTATCTTATTAATTATATAATTTTATTAAAACAAAATTTTAAATTGTTTTAAAAAACTCAAAAAATATATAATATAAGATTATAAAAAGAATTAGAAGTCAGAACAGATAGTTATATAGAGTATAATTACTATATTTCATATTGTCAATATTATGCATATGATAAATATATCAAATATTATAACACATAATACTGTAATTGCAATCAATTATTTAATGTTAAATCTATATATAATTTAGTATTGCTAAATATTTATTTATAAATTTTAAATTCTAAAAAACAATTATTATATTATTTTTTATACCAAATTTAAAAAGTATATCTAAATACTTAATATAAATTAATATTAGCCAAGCTTAATTATAATAGCATACTTTTTATCACAGACTATAAAATGTATATACTCTTCAGTCTTTACATAAACCAAAAAGTGAATTTTATAAGAAATATGATTAAACTTTATATATATATAATTTTGGTTTTTACTAAAAAAAAAACAAAGCAAGTTAGAAGTTGTAGTATATAATTATAATACTAATATTTATTGAATAATATTTTAGGAGGTAGTAGGTCAAAAAAAATCTTATTTTAGTTTAATTTAATTAGCTAAATGATATTATCTAGAAGTAGGAATAAATTTCTATAGTAAATAAATATTAGGTAATAAATATTATAGCTCTTATTGATTACTAAATACTAAGCAGAATGCTTGGTTTATAGTATTAATATTTGAAATTATATTCTAAAAATAAATAAAAAAAACTTCAAATAAATTAAAATAATATTTAATAATAGATCTTATTATTATAACTCTGAGCCAATAGACATAGTTAAGTACTAGCATAAATAGTATAAAATTGAAGTTATAGATAAGAACGAAATTATTTTAGGCTTTAAAACCCAAAATTAAAATTTAAAAACGAAATTGTTTTGACTTACTTTTATTTAAAAGATGAAATTTTTTGATACTTTTTTTGAATAAATAAAATTATAAAAAATATAATTATATAAATTAGATTTGCTTTTTCTTATAAAATATTTTAATTTGCTCTAATGGAAACAAAATAGGCTTTTTTTGAAAGCCTATTTTTGTACTATTTATAATATATGCTCCAATTTTTGAAATACATGCAGATTATTAATGCTTCCCAAAAATTTAGTTACACAATAGAGTGCATCAATCAGTTGACATCTAATCATATATATAATTTTGATAGGTGGGTCTGCTAGTTAGTTTTTTTTTGCTGCTACGTACAGAAAAGTTTTAATATCTTCATAGCTTGACATGATACTGTTTTTTATATATGCTAGTGTACCTATTGTTTTTTTTTATATAGAACCTTTTATTGTAATATCTATGATGCTTTGTTGACCAACTTTATATCATTTTTAGTTTCTATTAGAAAGTTGGCTATAGTTGTATTATTTTATTTATTGTTTTATAACTTTAAAACAAATTTGTACAAAAAATTATAGAAATTGGGCCAAGTAGAAATTGTTGCTATGATTTATTATTACTCGAAATATATAATTTACCCAGATAATCTGGGTAATTTAATTATACTTGGGTAGGGGTTTTCTCAATGGGTCTAATTTCTAAAAAATCGTTTATATAATTAAATAAATCAATAAAAATTAAACCAAATAATGTATATATATTAAGATATTAGAGTAATTTATTATATGAGGAAGGATCATTTGCAGATTCAAATAATTGAACCAAATAATATACTTATTGTACCTTTGATTGTAAAAACAATGTAGACTAAAAGGTAAGATTTAAAAAGGTTAGTTGCATTATATAATCCTAATGATTTTAAAATATAATTGTAGTTTATATCTATAAATCAGAGATATTTATTTTTAAAATTAAAAGATTTTTAAATTTCATGCCAATATTATACACCAAAATTAAATTTCCTTAAAGATGTTAATAGTTTGACCTGGCTCATATAATTGAATATTTTAAAACCAATTAATAAATAGAGCTAGATAATCTGAATAATCTGATAGCACCCTTGACTTCATCGATTTAAATTACAATGGAATTTTCTTTTATCTAGGGACAATCGAACTTTAAAAAAAATTCTTTTTAATTCAAACTTGAATATGGTCAAATACAAAGTTCATGTGATTTGTTCGAAGTATAGTAAAAAATACACTACTTCTACTCCAAACTATGCAATGTATATTGAAAGCACACAAATTTCTAAATCAAACCAAAAATAAAAAAAAATCAATAAAAATAAAAGAGTAATATTTTGAATACTTATCAGGTTCTGATACCTAGTTTTAAAAAATAGTATATATGCATATACTGAATTAAATGTAATTCAGGTGCTCTTGAAATTAGGCACAATTTGATCAAAATTCTTTCTATAATTCCTAAGCAAAATTTCTAATTAAAAAAACAATGCAACTTTTTTTTTTTAGCATTATTTACATTCTATAATAACAAGACTCCAAGTACTCTATTAATAAATCTTAGAAAATTTTTTGAAAATAAACAAAATGCTTTATTTACTATTTTCAACTTTGAGTCTATTCTTATGATAATGATCATCTATACTCGTCAGAACATAATTTATCTTAGCAAATTCTTGAAAACAAATAAATGCTCTATTTTCATTCTTTTTAACTGCCATCCTACTGAAAATTCCTATAACAGCAAAATTTTTATAATGAATGGATAAATTTTCATTTAAACAATATAATAAATAATAACGTATTATATTATGCATTATCAAGTCTAAGTAAAATTTCCAAGTTAAAAAGAATCTGTTTATCTGAATTTCTTTCTATTTCCACTATTAAAAATATCAAATATGTAAACAAACATGTATACCGATTAAATATACTTCTGAATGTGGCAATACCCGAACTATTAAATTCCTCATGTAAAATAATTAGCACTTTTAGATATAAAGAAATAAATATATATTATAATTAATTATAGATTTGCTTGTAATGGTAAAATAAACCTGCTCTTACCCTAGTGTGTTAATATTCTTGTTTAGGGTTAAACACATGAAAAGTAAAAATATATGGATCTCTGCTAAAAAATCAAAATCCTAGACAGTAAATCATATAATTTAATCTTGATTTTCTTAATAAAGATCATGTATATTTTGTTACATAAATAAATAAATATTACTTACTAACCAGCAGCTTTTGAAATTGATCCTAGAAAAAAAAAATTAATTTTTTTACTTCAAAACCACAAGATTTCAACTACTATACCTACTTCTCTATATTATTGCTACTTATGTTCTTTTTTTTTTTTCATAGCATTAACTCTAACAAAAAACAAAGAGTATTAGCAATAAGCTCTATCATATTCTAGCAATATTAATCAACTATATGAGAACAGTAGACTAACTCAAATATATTTCTTTATTTCCTTATTTTTGTTCTAATAAATATGACAGATAAAATAAGAAAATGCTATTACCAGGTATAAGCATATTATGTAAGCCGAATCATCTATTTTTTTTTATTGCTTCACTTTGTATAATATCTGACTCCAATCATTCTATTAAAGAACAGAATTAGATAATTACAGAAACACAAGAACAAAGGTTATATTTATAAGATTAGAATTACTGAATTTTCTTTTTAATTTAAAGTAAAATATTCTAAACTATAAAAAGATTAGATAATTTGCTCGAACTATAGTAGCTCTACAATTTTTTATGAATTTTTAAAAAGCTATTATTCTTTAAATTACAAATTTTTACTTTTGTCTTACCTATATAATTCACTTTAAGTCCACTTGGGTATATGTCAGTAAATGGGGAATTTTATTTAAAATTTCAGAGAAATAAGAAATAAAATAATAGCACTGCTATAAGAATTAAAATTAGATAAATCTGAATATAAAAGAAATAATATTTATAATCTTAGTTTAGATACCTGGATTATAAATTCTAATAATAAAGGATTTCCGAAAAAATAGTTGTATAGATTAACATCTTTTAGGCTTTTTTTTTTTTTTAAAAAAAAAAAGCATTATATTTGGTATTGCCTGACCTGAGAAATAAGTTGAACCATTCTTTTGCTTTAATTATGAAAAGAAAGGAGTTTGTATTTATAAGTCTGTAAAGTAAATAAAAATTTCTCTACAAAAAATTGATCAATATCACCTATTCTTTGTCAAAAATGATATTTAAATTGAAATTACGCAATACTTTTTCTTATTGCCTCTTATTAGAGATATAAAAAACCAATTTGCATATTGATATATCAAAGTAAGCCCTTATTATAAATCATCCACACCCTTAAATCAGGTAAGTGTACTGGTATTTAAAGTTATCATGATCTTACTAAAAATGAGAGCTGCACAAGGAAAACCTGTAAGTAAAATTTATTCATTAAAATATTGTATAATTTTGACTAGTCAAATTTCAAGATCAGGCTAATCTTGAAATTTGATTGATCAAAATTGTACAATATTTTAATGAATAAAATTTTACTTACAGGTTTTTCTATATAGCTCTCAAATGAAAAGTTGGATGATTATCTATAGCTAGTGTTAATCAATTCTGATTGGTTATTTGATGTAGGATTTTTTTAATTTAAATTTTTTAAATATTTCTCTTCAAAAGATTATTTATATTCTGTTAATCTTTTTAGTGTTATGAACAGCTTTAAGAATTATCAGGTTTAAGAAAATGCAATCAAATTTTCAGTAATTTTGAAAAGATATCCAAAAAACTTATCTATTATCTGTATAGTACATATGTATAAACATTAACAGTTATTAATACAGGTTGACAACCAGTTGAATTAAAAAATTGTATAACTTGTATTACTTTAATAATCAGTGTCATGTTGTTTTTCTGTGAATTATATCTTCTCAGATACAATAATATCTCTTGATCAAAGCAAATACCCTGAAAATAATCCATTTTCACTTAAACAAAATAATACTAATTATAAGTATCATATTATTAATGAAAGATTTTATCTATCTAAAAATAAAGTATGGTATACTTCAGTATTTTCTTATAACCAAACTCAATATAAAGCTCCAGATAGTTATCTAGTTCGGACCAGTTGGGGAAGAAACAAGTCACACCATATAGTAGAATGTGAAATAGAATATGAACAAGATGAACCAGTTTTTATAATAAGATTTAAAGAAAATTCTCAACAATATATATTAAATTCAAAGAAATCTCCAACTACAATTGCTAATGATTATCTAAAAGTCAGTACAGTTTTTGTGCAAATAACTAGATAAAATTAAAATAAAATGAAATTTTTTATATAAAAATAAAAATTATATAGAAAAAAAGTCCTAATACTCATATAACAATTTTCAGAATTCATATATTTGGTTTTAACGCCATAGACGTGGAATGGGAGTATAAAAGAAAAAAAAAACAAAGACAGTCTCTTTTTCTTAAACTATTAAATTCTCTGAGTGAATCTATGAAAACCAAAAGATCTTGTGCATTTTCTATATATCTAGGCGAAGTTTTTGATAATCAGGTTCTATAATTTTTTAATTTACTTGACTAAGAGGAGTAACAAAAATCAGGTGATTTTTTAGAGGGAGTAAAAAAAGTTAAAATTATATATAAAGACCTGATTAAATATATAATAAGAAAGAGGGAGGGGGGTATGCCTCTAATAAAAAAAAATCAGGTGATAAATGACACTGCTCTAACCAGTCCTACAAGAAGTTAAATTTAATATTTACGATAAAAATTTTGTAATTGACTATAATAATAATTACAAAAAAAATAGCGATAGTAATAAATCTCTTGTTCTATTTTTGGAAGTTATTGACCAGAGTCCGATATCTTATCATGCTTATCGTAAACTAGCTAAAATTCAGCCTAAATTACCATGAATATAATCTATACTCTGCAAAAATCCAGGTATTACATTTTGTTAGTGTATAAAAAGTGCAGGTAGAATGATATAACGGAAGTATTGATCATATACATGAACTTGATGAAATTAAAAAGCTAAAGTATTCAGAAGCGGTACAGAAATTAGTTGAGGAAGAAGCGGCCAAAAACTATCCACTGCCTGTTATCACAAGTGTGGTTAAAGAATATGCAACTAGGGTGTTGAATCTGAGCTCGAGTGTTAAAGATCTAAAACGTACTGAGGTTACAAACATTAAATACAAAGTTTGTGAGGTGTAAAATAATAATTTAAGAGGTAATAAAAATAAAAAAAGGATATAGAAGAAAGTATTCTTTTTTTAAAAGACCAGGGTTATCATGTTGAATATTACGTAGCCCCTAGTCAGGCTACTTATGGTCTTGTATTCATATACCCCTTCAGCTTATCAAACTCGAACGATATAGGTGGTTAACTCTTATTGATTTGACCCATAAAACCAACAAGTACGATTGCCGCCTGTTTACCTTGTATATTTGGGATACATATGGCTGTTGGAATGTTGATGCCCATTTTTTTGTTGAGAAAGAAGATAGTGACACAGTCTTGGATGCTTTAAAAATAATAAAAAAATTTGGAAGCCGTTGGAAACCATAATATATCCTTGCTGATCAAAGCTATGTTGAGGCAAATAGTGTTACAAAAGCATTTTCTGGTCTCCGGAGTGGTGAGCGAGAATGTGCCATGATTTTTTGCATAGTCTACGTAATGTGTATATGGATGAATAAAATATATAAAACAAAGACCTGAGGAAAAATGATCCAAGCAATGCATAAAACTACAAAAATCAGATGTGACGAGCTTATCAAAGAGGCAATTAATTCGTGTCAAGTTGCCAGCATAAAAAATTATATCAAACGAAATTATCAGAAAGTTCAAATCAATAGGTCTTATGAGCTCGACAGCATTTCCCACTTTTATTACAAGTGACTTCGACGAATGCCCTGGAATCATACTATAGCAAATTAAAGAGGACGATGACATTGAGCTATAGTTTAATAGGTATAGCACGAAAATTGTTTTTATTTAAACTAGTGGCCTGATTTTTTTTTTTTTTAACCGAAATATTTTTGTAAAAAAAAATAAAAATAAAAATTTTATTTTATTTTATTTTTTTTATTAAATATTATTGACACAAAAAAAATAAAAAAAATTTTTTAAAGTGTTATTCTATTTATATAAGATGCATGTTATAAAATCATCACCCTGGATATAAAAAAACATACCGACACAGAACATGTGGCATTTGAATTCAGAATTAAGCAGATTTCAGTTGTTGGTATTGATGATGAGATTTTTGGTTAAATTTATAAGTTTCCATTTCCAATTCAAAAATTAATCATCGATGAAGCTTGTGCTGTTAAAAAAAGGGTTGAAAAAGGTAAAAAATCCCCTGGTTTAACTTCACCTAGTTGTTTCTGCTTATTTTTTTGTCAGTATTTACTTCTTTGCTAATATATGTTTCATGAACATATATATGGCAATAAACAAATATTAACTTTAAATATGTGGGAGCAATTTCAAAATATGTTTGAGGAAAATGGTTTTGAAATATACAAACATTGTGAATTAGTGGAAATAGAATTGCCTAAAAAAACTAAAGCTAAAAAAGCCGCTGAAAATAGGTGTTTGATTGTCAATGAATTAATAGAAAGAACCCAAAATGCATACTAGAAAATGGATGATAAAAGAAGCCCACTAGAAAAATCAGAATTTATTAATGATTTAA